GTTTTTTGTACAGTACGGGGGGGGGGGGGTGACAGCTGCTAGGGAGCAGGTACATATGCTTATCCGTGGGTTTACGGAAGAGATCACTTTTAAGAGCACCATTTTCCATGGTCACGGTGATGTCCAAAAAATCTACACTGCTTGTGGATTTGTTAGCAGTGAATTTGATTGTGGGATGAGCCGTATTAATGTTCAATCTTCACCATGGGTCCAGATCATGAAGATATCATCAATGTAACGAAACCAAACATCTGGTTTCTTGGGCTGTAGGGACAGGAAATTGGCCTCAAATTTTCCCATAAATAAGTTAGCAAAAGATGGAGCCATTTTGGTGCCCATCGCTGTGCCATGAATTTGAAGGTAATGACCGTCGCCGAAAACAAAGTTATTATTGGTCAGAATCAGCATGATAAGTTCACGGAGATGTGATTTTGATGGGGTTTTGCCCCGAATTTGCTTGTAATTTGAAATGCATGCATTAACACCTTCTTCATGAGAGATATTAGTATATAATGACGAAACATCAAGTGTAGCCAGAACAGTATTATTAGGTAAATTTGAAATTTAGTTAATTTTGCGGATAAAGTCCGTGGAGTCCTGAATGTACGAGGGGAGAGCAACAACATATGGTCTCAATAAATCATCCACATATTCAGAGATTTTTTTCTGTAGCAGTACCGTTGCCCGAAATAATGGGTCTGCCAGGATGGCCTGCTTTGTGGATTTTGGGTACGACATAGAAACGTCCTGGTGCCGGATCGACCTGGATGAGATGGGGTCCAATTTTGGGATCGATGGAACCTTTTTTAACCATCTTTAATACATGATTTTTCCACTTCCTTGGAAATTTCCGGAGTGTGGTCCTCTGTGAGCTTCCGATAGTGAAGAGGATTGTTTAGTTGTCTTAAGAACTCCTCTTCATAGAATTTAATGTCCATTACGACAGCGGCAGAGCCTTTATCAGCTGGTTTGATGATAATATCATCACGCTGACGCAAATTGGCGATGGCCTGCCTCTCATTTTTTGTGAGATTGTCGCGTAAATCTGGACTATATATACATATATATATATATATATATATATATTTATTTATTTATTTATTTATTTATTTATATATATAATATATAAACTGTTACTGCTGTAGCAGCTGACTTCATCGTCATTGGCGGGATTAGTTGACAAATATATAATAATACACACATATATATTTAATATTGTAAAGGGGGTTAAACTTGACAAGAGAAAACTTTTATTTTAATCTACTATTGCCATTGTGTACTTGTTCAACTCATTTTTTGTATATGCTTTTGGAATTTGGCAATAAAAGTGGACTCAATGACCAGGGAAAGGAACTGCGCTTTATAACCGCAAGGAAGAGGCGCATTATAAATGCCTGTACCAGTACCAGAGTACCAGTATATATAAATTTTGAAGGATAAGTGACCAACTGGGTCATTATTACACCGTTTGGGAATTTAAATCTGATTAAAGCAGCTGATCGTTCACATTTCTTTTCGCATGCATAGTTGAACAGCACTAGTTCTTTATATGCGGATCCAAGGGGGCTCAGCCGGCCCGAGCCCCTCTAAATTTGCCAAATTTTAAAAAAAAAATACGAAAGAAGAAAATTCGACTAAAAGTTTTAGTCTAGGAGTGCCATTTCCGGCCATCTAGAGGTGCCATAATCATAAATTTTCTTACCTCAGCCCAATCTTGGTGGGGCTGAGAAAATATAGACCCTCCACCTGTGAATGTCCTTCTCCAGGCCCCCTCTATTTCAAATTCCTGGATCCGCGCCACTGGATCTTGGTGTACCGCAAGTAAGACAGATCATTATGAATCACCCTCATCTGTTTATCACTTGCATATTCATATATGTATTATATGTATAGACAATATATATAAAGGGAGATAAATTCATGTACTGTATACAGGGAGATAAATTCATGTACTGTATACACAAATTATATAAAGGATATATAATTGGAGAAAAACTGTCATTTATTATTGATGACTACCGTACTCAAATGCTCAAAAAACCTAAAAGGCTATAACTTTCAATCCAATTCAGTCAGTGATACAAATTCGGAAATGTTGCCCCCCCCCCACCCGCCCAAAAAGGTGAATTATTGCTATGTACCAGCTGACTATATTTACATTGTATAAATGGAGCAGATAGCTACATGCGGGAGGTGATAACGCTGTTTCAGTTTCTAAAGGTAAATGGTACATCTACCTGGCATCACTGGAGCATCTTTGTTATTACTTTTCCCCACCAAATGGAGAGTTTATGGGAAACAGCAGCATTTGTTCATGTGAATTGCTGTGATAAAGCTCAATTGTTCGTTAGTTTAATTTTGGAGTGCAGAGAGTGCGGACGCACCCCACAAATTCCAAAAGGTCCACTTTTTAAAACCTATGAATACACAAAATCGCTCCTAATTATTACAAAATGCTATAGCATGCATTGCATTATATATTTGCCAGCGTATCTAACCGTTGATTTTTAAAAATGTGGCATGAAATTTGTTAGAAATTGATCGTCTCCGGTGATTGCAGATTGATCTATATAATATGAAGAATGTTATCTATAGGCATGCAGATGTACAGGGCATAAAAACGTTACTTTCTCGGGTCCAAAAAACACCCAAATTAATGAAAATTTAAATGAAATATTAATGAATTATGTGTTTGAGAAATCTATTATGCAAGACCCTCAAAATGCTACTTTGTCACTTTTCTCACAAACCCCCTCCAGGCCTCTGCCCCTGGACCACCCAA